ATTTTCTTTTTGGTATATCTTTAAACCGTAAAAAATTCATGTGTTTCACAAAACGTTTAATACTTGATTTTGAAAAATCTTGGTTCTTCATTAATCATTTTTATAGTAATATTCTATTTGATATATTTCATGCCAGCAGTCCAAAAAGTTTAAATTTTTCTTTGTAATTCTTGAACTAGATTATTTAAATAAAATATTTTTGCCTATGAAGATGTTAAGCTTGGTGTACAAACTCTAGAATCCAAATCCTTTGATTACAATAAAGTCAAAATTTATCTTATTTGCCTTTCCTGTTTGTTGAGTAAGTTTATTATATTCTGAAAATGTCCATGAGAGTTTTCATGTATGTGGTTTTTTTTTTTACCTCGAGTTGTTAGTCATTTGAGTCTATTTGTTTTATGCATTCTTGTTTATGTTTCTATTTTGATGATAACATACATTATTGTGTATGTTACTCCTTTTTTCTATTTCTATGATATTTTATTTTATTTTGTGTGCGCTAATGTTTAAGAAAATAAGTCAACCATTCACTTGCAATTCTGATCAACTCAAGACTGGATAGATTATGGTTACGATCGATTTTCATTTTAGTCAATATTTATTTCTTTCTTGAGTCGTATCATGTAATTCAGTGGATAATATACACACATGGAGAGAGAGAAAAATATTTTTGAGAGAGTTATTTTTTAAGTAGTTAGTAATATATGATCTTGACTTCGTACTATACAATTCTGTTCGTATTATACAATTTTAATTCATACTGTATAATCTGTTATGCTCTGTCAAAACCCTAGCCGCCGAAAGTTAAGAAGGATACTAATTCTGTACGATTTGGTTCAAATTGTACACCATAATTAAAAAAAAATTTGAATTAATCCCCCGATATCAGGCAATCAAATAATGGACAATTATTGTGACCAATCGTATTATACGAAACAGTTCGTACTATATGATTACCCGTGTACAAAATTATTTGTACTAGAGATCATACCAATTGAAATCCATGATTTTTATACCGATCATACTATATGATATCCACCATCCTAGATGAATGACAGTATACGAAGTTGACCGTCCCAATGATCATCCCAAACGAACAAAAGGAATTTCTATAGTTCATATCGTACGATGTTATGATTGTATTATATGAAATATTATAAAAGTTGAATAGTTAGTCTGAACGATCTTGTTGGAGGAGTCTGAATTACATTGATCGTATTGTATGATACGTGTATCGTAATGTACGAATAAAAGTTGAATCTCTTGTAAATTAGGGTTTTCTTAAAGCCCACAACTTAAGATTTTATAATACTTCTATTAGAAAATCTTTGGATGTTTAAACTTCATGAGAGAGAGACTTGAGGGAGAGAATAAGAGCTTTGTGAGAAAATAGAGAGATTTTGTGAGGGAGAAGTTGTGAGGGAATTCATAAGATTAGTCTAAGAAAATTCTTACCTAGTATCTACAAGTGTATGTCTAGATTCTATATGGCTATGAGAAAGAAGTTATTTAGCAAAGATTATGGTTCCCTGACCATCACTTAGAGGGTGAAAATAGAGTTATGGTTTTCTGACCATCACCAGAAGGGTAAAAATAGAGTTGTGGTTAGCTAACCATAGGGGTGTAAGTGAGCCAAGCCGGCTCGAGCTCGCCTCATTAATGAGCTCGCGAGCCGAGCTTATCGAGCCACGAGCTTGAGCTCGAGCTTAAACTCGAGCTAGTTTGTTAAACGAGCTTGAGTTTGAGCTTAATAAGGCTCAGCTCGCGAGCCGACCCGAAATTATTAAATTTCAATATTTAAAAAGATTAATAAGAATTTCATTTTAAATTACCGCCTAATTTTTAAACTCTCGCCTATGCTGGCTCAAATGTCAATCGCAACCCCCTCTCTCCTTTGATAGCAACAGAGTAATAATGACAAAACAAAAAAAAAGTATAAAACTGATCTCTCTCTCTCTCTCTCTTCTCTAGGGCAAATTATTGGGTTAGGTGACCAAACCCATCTCTGCGTTCGGTCACCAATAGAAATGCGACATCTGTTAGGCATTTTTTTAATTTAATAACTTTGCTTTATGTCTTGTCGGAGTGAGCGACCTGACCCGATAATGCAGTTCATTTGAACTTTTAAGCATTTGCCGCCCTATTTTTGCAATTTGATACCCGCGAAAGACGTAAGTAAATATATACTGTTGTAGAAGAAAAAACGAGCCAGAAAATTGCAGAGAAGAAATGGGCTGCTCAGCGAAGAGGGAGGTGGAAGAGGGCATGGAAGAGGGAGTGCATGAATTAGAAAGGATGCATGAATCGGAAGGGCTGGTGCATGAATCGGAATCGGAACCTAACTTAGCCAGAAATTCCTCTTGTTTCAACATATCGGTAAATTTCTTGGAAAAACGAGTTAGAAAGTTGTAAACAGTCAGTTTTAATCTCATCGCCGCAGAATGAAGACGTAGGTTTCAGCTCATTAGAGTCTTAGCATATTAGATTTTGCGATTTTTAAGCAGAATAAATTTTTTTGTCGAAAAAGTAAAAAAAAAAAAAAATCCTAATGTTGTTGCTTAGCTTTAATTATTGATTTTAGGATGAATATCATAAATAAAAAATCTGCACTCTCTCTCTCTTTTCCTCCAGCTGCAGTGATAAAAGACACCAATCAAATCAAATTTTTTGAAGAAAGAGAATAAATCTCTTGCTCTCTCTTTGATAGTTGAGCTCGACTTGAACACCTCTTGACTCGAGCTTGACTCAGCTCATTTGCACCACTAGTCTAACCATCACCAGGAGGGTTAAAATAGAGTTGAGGTTCCCTACCTGTAAAAGAGTCATGATTCTCTACCGCATCGGGGAGGTGAAATAGTATACGTACAAGCTTCTTCGCCTTACTATGAGAGCAAAAGGAGAGTCACTACTATTTAGTGCAATACTTGGAGAGGGAGTCTCCAAAGAGTGTGCATAGGTCAGGTTGATTGAACAACTATAAATTCTGGTGTGCTCGTTCTGATTATTTTTTTGCACTTTATTTTCTACAATTATATGTGTGGTTGAAAAATCTATTTTATTTTGTTGTTGTGAAATTTACTCTTTTCCGTATCCGCTGTATTAATTATCATGTATGGGTTTGAAAAGTTTTTAAAGATGTTCTTTTTCCTAAAAAAATTTTAAATAACCAATTCACACGCCCACCCCCCACCCCACCTTTAGGTTAGCCTCGGGCTAGTTCTTCAGGATTTCACAACCCTCATAAACTTTTAAGATGATTCATAAATTGGACTTATAACTCCTAAAATATTATTTAACTGTTGTAGGTCAAAATATATCTCATAAAAAATTGGAAAAATTGGAGAATCTATCTCTATTTCTTAGCAAAAAAGTAATAACATTTTAATATATTTTAATAAGCAATTCAAAACATTTTATCAATTAAACTTAATATATATATATATATATATATATATATAATATAATATATATATTCAAAAGAAAATATATGCATAAGAGTTGTGATTTTTTTTATGATAAGAAATAACCTATATAAGCCAATCATTCCAAATTAGTCTTTCTTACTTTTGCACACATTCTACATCATATAAATCATAATAACAGACATTATATACGCATTGTATGCAATAATTATAAATATATATATTTATCCAGTATGCTCACAAGTATGCATGCATGTATTATATTAAAATGCATGTTAGACTAGGAAATTAATAAATAGTGCACATCAAGTATTTCATGCCTAAATACAACACACTAACTTTTGATCATTTTAACACAATATTATCCAACTTACATCAAATAGAATGTCATATATGCAAAATCAATTAGTAAAATTTTAATATAAACAAAACAAAATATTTAGGGGGGGGGGGGGGGGGGGGGGGCGCAATATCTACCACATTTCAAAAGTTACACAATGAAAAATCACTCAAATAAGAAATATTATATTTTTATCAATTTTAGGAGGGAGAAATTGAACAAATCTCAAAATCATTAAAAATAGAAGTAGGATTAAGGTTACCTATCACGATTAGAATACTTTTCATAAATGAAGAGACAAAATAGTAGCGCAATCCTCACTTTCTCTCTCATATTTTTTTCTTTCTCTCTTCTTCTCTCATGACCAAACCAAAGAAATGGGGGGAGGGGATGGGGTTGGTATGGATTTTGATGAATTGATTATATATTTAATTTAAAAAAATATATATAATTTCAGACCTACCGTCATAGCATCCAAAACCCCAACACCACTGCACTCCCTCAAACCTCAAAAAATCTGAGAGCTTGATGTCGCAGCACTTTCACAAGAAATTTTTTGGAATTTAGGAAATTAAATTTAAGGTCACTACAACATGTTCACATATCCAAATTACTCTTACATAACAATGCATAATTCATACAAATATCAATAAAGTTTGTGCATGAAAAAAAAAATTTAACTATAATTATTCAATTACAAAACTGCTATATGATCTTTCAACAAGGAGCTAAAACTAAAATTTAACTAATTTGAGTTTCATCAAAATTATTTTGGAATCATCAGTATAATAATAATTTTTTTATAATTATTACTTCCCTATTAAGACGATCGACCGAGGAATTGTGGACTTCAAGAGGAATGCGCTCATGAGTGGAGTCAAATCTGTCCGAGTATAGCAAATGGCAACATGGCTCCGTTTCGTGCAAAAATAATTTTTCGACGCCTTTTTCACGTGAATTGGCGAATGAAAGGACGAAACGGTGGAAATAGGCCTTCACCAATTGATTCTCTGACGGAAATTTCAACCGAAAAATCTGGCGGCATATTTAAAAATGATGGATTTTCCGGCGGAAATTTCCGCCGGAAAGACAGCTGAATTACCGGTGTTTCTAACGACCAATATTCCACCAAAAAAAATGCCAAAAATTGATATTTTCATGCAGCCAACCTGATTATTTCCAAATAAAATTTAGTCTTATAGTAAAAGCTACATCCCTATTTTACTAAACCATGGGACTTTTCAAGTAAACAGAGTACATTTAATTGAATGCTCTATGCTTTTTATGTATAAAAATTGAATCAATGCTCCATACAAAGATTTGAACCCATGTTCAGTTTACATTTTTTAATATAAAGACAAGCAGCACAGCTTCGAACTTCAACACCAACAACCCAAGTTAATGCCTTATTACGTCGAGAAATTATTAGGCGCGGAGTGCGTCCGGAGATCAATAAAAATATGCCACATCACCTCATTGGTGGGTACCGTACCCGCAATCGGTACCGCTGGATACCGTTAAGTACCAGTGCTTGTGAGGACGATTCTTCCATCAGCACTCCACCTAATAATTGCTCTATTACGTCAGTCCAAGCGGCGAGCGAGTGTTCGTTGGAGCCTGGCCAAGTTGGCGAGACCTGCGCTGAGGAGAGGCTTCCTTCGATTCCCTCAAATGGCCTTTGAGGGCTTCAATCTCCTCCAGAGTCTCGACGACTTCCTTCATTGAAGGCCGGTTTTTCGGTTCGGCTTCAATGCATCTGTACGTGAGCTGAGCTGCTTGAAGAGCTCCTTTTGAAGGATACTTGCCGTCAAGCCTGGAATCCATCATTCTCGATAGCTTCCTTCTGTCAGCTAGATATGGCTTTGCCCAATCTACCAGACTGTGCTGCCCAGCTGGTCGATTTGGGTCAAGTGCTCGCTGACCTGAGAGCATCTCTAACAAGACAACTCCGAACCCGTACACATCACTCTTTACATACAAATGACCTGTAAGGATTGATGAATCATCAAATCACAATGGTAAAACAAATGTATGTTTAGTGCAATAATATGGGCGAAAGGTTTTGCATTCATTATGTAACAATGTAAGAGGATAGATTAAGGCTTTGTTTGGGACTGCTTTTCTATTGCTTCTTAAAGCTATTTTTTAGGACAAATATTTAAATTTCTGTACTAAAAAACTGTTTTAGAAAACAGTAAGAAAACTGTCACAAATTATATTTTTTTCATTCCTTCTATCTATATTATCTTTGATCTATCACCTTTACCTCTTAACTGTTTTACATTATTTTATTTATTATCTTGTTGATGCCCATAATGCCTACTTATTTTTTATTATCTCATCTCCAGACTCTTGTATTCTACATCCACCACCCTTACAGGATAATCTTTTCTTATTCTATGCTTTATTTTTGACTAATGAAGACAGTTTTTGGATAACCAGTTTAGAATATACAATCAATCAAATATATGATTTGTCGACGCATTATATTTCTGGAAGGCAAGGGGTTGGCAAGTTCTTCATTCTTTTTTACTTTTGTCTCAAAACTCAAAAGCGAAAGGTAACAACATACCGGTTGCAACATACTCAGGAGCTGCATAGCCATATGTGCCTATGACCCTGGTAGTCACATGGGACTCACTACCTATTGGCCCATTCTTCGCTAGACCAAAGTCTGAAAGTTTTGCGTTGTAGTTCTGCAAAAGATGAACACATATTAGATATTAAGAGGGAAAATAAAAACATGTTAATTATGTTATGATTAATACCGAGTCAAGAAGAATATTAGAGGCCTTGAAATCACGATAAATAATTTGTTTCTCTGAAGAATGTAGAAAAGCAAGGCCTCGAGCAGCACCAATGGCTATCTTTAGCCTAACATTCCATGAGAGAGGATCAAAAGCAGCCCCTCCTACCAAAACATACGTTACTTCATTACTTTGAATCCAAGAATGTCTTTAAGTTTCTTGAGAATTTCAGATGAAATATATAGAGTTATTTGACAAAGAATTAGATATCAACTCTATCCAACACTTGAGCAACATTTGGAATGATTTGTAAGTGGAGAGAAGTAGAAAGTTATTTACAATTATCTCTGCAATCATTGTGTGATATTTTTGAAAGAGAAAAGGCATATAGTATCAACAAGTCTCACAATTCTACACTTTCTTTACAGGCAATTGCAACTATCCCATACAGACCCTAATTAGTGGAATTGACTGAATTTCTAACTGCAAAAAAATATTATTGAAGCTCTCTTTCATTAAAATCAATCTTAGAATTCATAATGCTAAAAAATAATATCTGATAAAAATACATACTTCTGAAAAGATGATTTTCCAAGCTCCCTTTTGGCATGAACTCATAAACCAGGAGAAGCTCCCTGTCCTCCCAGCAGTACCCCAACAGTTTGACAAGATTAGGATGCGAGAGCCTTCCCAGAAAATTAACTTCAGACTGAAAATAAAGAAATGATGAGAGAATTACTCTTAAAAAGTAGCAGAGGAATGAGAACCTTGAAAAGTGTTTAAAAATATAATCAAATTCTATGAAAAATAAAGCTGGAGGAATATAAACTAATCTGGTTTCCCATGTCCTAGTCAGCTATACATTAGAAATAGTGTAACCATTGCTTTCTCTGTCTTGGATTGCTTGAAATGTGATAGAAAATGTTTGTAGGAACAAGAGTTTTTCTTGCTGAATTTTAATTTCAGCCCCTGCAAAAACAGATTGGAGAAGAATTTGGAAGAAATAGCCAAAAATAAACCTCTCTAATTGATAAAAGATGAAAGAAAATGAACAAGATACAATGGATCCTCAATTGGAGAGGATGATCCGCCTCTCTTAATCTCTAGCTGGCAGCTAAAGCCCAAGCAAACCCTAGGAACTGATTCATGTAGGATATGGTTTCTCCATGTGTTTTATGTATTTTGAATTGTTATTTTTAGCATGAAGGTATATTTAGAATCATAAGATCTCACCCGTTTACTTGTTTCTAGTAGACCACAAAAATGGGGTATAATTTCTAATGAAACGATTTAGCATTAAGTATCTATATAGCCACCATCATATATGAAGACGAAGTCTGCCTCCTTCCAGTGACCTGCACAAGGAGCAAACACAAACAAACAAGAGAAACCTTTGCTGCTTAGAGCTTCGTTTCTCTTTCCTGTTCATTCACATATATATAACATTAAGAGTGAATTACAATAGATGGTCCAGATTGATTGGCAGACCATCAACGGCTATTACCAATGCCGTACACAAGTTCGTTTAGAACAGGAGAAGTGGAGTAGGAGATGCAGGCGACCGTGCTAATAGGCGGTCGTGCTAATACCTCCTGTCAAGATGACGATGTAAAGATCATTTTTGTTCCAGGATCGTCTGGGACGAAGTTGGATCGTCCCAGGACGATCGGTACAGGTTGTGCTGGAAATTTGGATCCTGAGCAGTTCGTCTGGACGAAATTTGGATCGTCTAGACGAAAATTCTCCAGAGCCAAATCGTCCAGTGACGATATTTAATTTCGTCTGTACGAAAATCTTATAGAGCCCAAGTCGTCTAGGGACGGTAATTAATTTCGTTTGGACTAAATTCGTCCAGAGCATAGATCGTCCGGGACGAAGTTGCGATCGTCCGGTACTATCAGTCTGGATATATATAGAATGAGATATTTTCGGAAAAGAAAAGGACGCCAGGAGAGAGGAAAATGAAGGAAAAAGAAGGAAAAGTGATTTTTGGGCGACTCCGGTCCATTTTCGTCCGTTGCTGTAGTTAAAGAAGTTGACCGACTCGAGGTAAGGCACATTCCGCCTTTCTCAATTTTCAGAAACAAGGATTTTGACGGGTTTTCTGTTTTGAATTTTGTTTCCGTTAGCGAATTTCGGGTATTATTTTCTGTTGACAAAGGTTTTACCGCGTAACTTTTGGTATATCTCTAAGATGTTAATTGTGAACGTTTTGAGTATTTTCTGGAAGATTTTTACCGGATATTTTGGATTCTGCGGTGTTTTAAGCGAACTGCAAATTATCAGGATGTTGAAAAATGTTTTGTCAGTACAATGAAAGTCTTACAATGTTGTTGTGAATGTTCTGTGGTAATTTGGTAAATTTCTGAATCTGTGAATTTTGTGTAAATTCCGTATACTGCTGTTATGCCGCTGAAATTTCGTACGAATTCTGATTTTTCTGAATTGAGTTCTTGAATGAATTAAAGTGTTTGTGTGCTATCAAAAGGAAGTTATAAGGGGTCAGAATCCATCAAGATTTTGTAAGTATCAGGGAAAGGAGCGGCTATTTCGGATGCGAGTTTCTGATGATTTTGATTGGTGATTGATGTCTTGCTGAGCTGTTAGCTCATCCTTGTTTTCTACGTGGTTTTCAGGTTCTGGGAAAGGGAAGGAAGTCTTGGATTAGCTGTCCAGAGTCTGATCTGTGATTAGGTATTTTGTACTTTTGATTTTGTTACAGTCATGGCTTATCTGTTCTATTTTATTCTGTTCTTTCTGTCTATAAGTCATGTACTGTATCTATATATGATTATTTTGATGAAAGAAAAGATAGATGAACTGCGCTGTATTCGGATGTTTTTAGTAGCTCTGTGTTTTTCTGTCTGTGTTATATTTGGAAGAAAGTTCTGAAGAAACTTCCAAAGCCAGATCCTGGATTTGTTGGCTCCGTCGCGACCCGATGCGAGCGGGATCCGTCCCGGTCGGGTTGGGTCGTGACAGACGATGTCGTAGAAATTGTCAGCTTGGATCGCAGAGATTGGAACTTCTTGTAGGACAGAGATTTAGTAAAGATATCAGCGGGTTGGTCGGTAGTAGAAATGTGATGAACAAAGGCATGTTGAGCCTGTATACAATCACGAATGAAGTGGTAGTCAACTTCAATATGCTTAGTTCGAGCATGGAATACTGGGTTGTTGGCCAATGCAAGTGCTGAAATATTATCACAATAAATCAAAGTTGGAGACGACGATGACACATTAAAGTCAGCAAGTAATCGTCTGAGCCAGAGAACATCAGCTGCTGTGGCAGCGAGAGCACGGTATTCTGCCTCGGTTGAGGACCGTGCAACTGTAGGCTGCTTCTTAACACACCAAGACAGTAAATTCTGTCCGAGAAATACACAGAATCCAGAGATGGATTGCCTATCCGTAGGATTAGAGGCCCAGTCCGAATTAGCAAATGCTTGAAGCTGAAGATCGGAAGCTGATATCGGGAGGACATACTCAATTGTGCCATTTAGGTATCGAAGGACACGCTTGAGGTATTGGTAATATATTTGATATGGTTTGTGCATATGTTGGCAGAGGTAATTTACCGCAAATGCAACATCTGGCCACGTAAGGGTGATGTACTGCAGGGAGCCCACGAGCCGTTTATACAGATCCGATTGAGGGAAGACTGGTGAATTATCGGTAGGAGATTGCAATTTTATAGGCAGGTGACTTAACGTTGGCTTGCAGTGAAGCATTCCTGCTTTGTTAAGTACTTCGGCTATATACCTGGATTGGCATAGATGAAGCGCTGATTGGTGGTGTGAGATTTGTATGCCAAAAACCTTTTGAACAGGGCCTAGATTGCGCATACGAAAACATGAATGAAGCCGTGACAACAGCGTGTCAATGACTGTGGGATTATCTCCAGTAACTCAGTAAGTAGCACATCATCGACATAAACCACCAAATACATGTTATCATTGCCTTGAGTGAATGTCAACAGAGAGGGGTCGTTCTTGCTAGCTGTAAAACCATAATTCAGGAGGACATTTGAGAAGGTGGCAAACCAACGGCGCGGTGATTGTTTGAGACCATAAATGGTTTTATGCAGTTGAAAAACATGTGTGGGATGCTGCGGATCTTGGAATCCTTGAGGCTGTTTCATGTAAGCAGCTTCGTCTAATTTGCTATGGAGAAACGCATTGGAGACGTCTAGATGATAGGTCGGCCATCCACGGCTGGTAGCAAGAGTGAGCAATAAGCGGATGGTGGGGAATTTAGCCACAGGGCTAAATGTATCAGTATAATCAACACCAAACTGTTGTTTGAACCCCTGCGCAACGAGCCAAGCCTTGTATCGAGAAATGGAGCCATCTGGATGTAATTTGGTTTTGAACAACCATTTGCAGCCTAGAATATTTAGATTTGGTTTGTGCTCAACTAATGTCCAAGTGCCTTGTTGAAGTAGAGCCTGAAATTCAGTGGACATAGCCTGTCGCCAGGGTAAATGCTTACTGGCTTCGGTGAAAGAGGTTGGAGAGGGAGGTACAGAAGTAGTGAGTAGATTGAAAATTTGTTTCGGCTTTAAGTTACCCGTCTTTTGACGAGTTAACATGTGGTGGCGAGATGAAACAGGCTCAATTGGAGTATGAACAGGCTCAATTGAAGTATGAGGTAAGACAGAGGTGGACGTAGCTGAAGGAGAGGGTGAGTGTTGTATGATTGGATGAAACTGATTTGCCTCAGAGGAAGTGGGAGTTGTGGTGGTTACAGGAGTTGGCACCAGAAGTAACGGATGGCTAGACAGAGGCACCGAGAGTGTATCATCCGGAATTGGGATTGAATGATCAGTGGGGAAGGTAAGTGTTTTGAAGGGGAGATGTTGTTCAAAGAAGGTGACATGTCTAGATAAATAGATACGTCCAATGTCAAGATGAAGAGAGTTGAAACCTTTGGAATGAGAATCATAGCCCATGAACACGCAGGGAAGGGAGCGAGGTTGAAGTTCATGACGTTGGATGGTGGGAATCCAAGGATAGCAGAGACAACCTAGTACCCGAAGATGGTTGTATGTAGGGGGAGTGTTATATAGGAGATGATAAGGAGATAGCTTACGAAGATGTCGTGACGGTAAGCGGTTAATAAGGCATGTGGTTGTAAGGAGAGCTTCTACCCAATATTTGAGCGGAATATGAGCATAGAAGAGAAGAGAACGAGTGGTTTCCAGCAAGTGCCTATGCTTGCGTTCAGCTACACCATTTTGCTGTGGTGTGTGAGGGCAAGAGAGACGATGAAAGATACCGACTGAACGTAAGTAAGATTGAAATTGGTTACTTAAATATTCTCCACCACGATCCGATTGTAACATTTTAATGGGCACTTGGAATTGTCGTTCAACCAAACATTTGAATTGAAGAAAGATAGGAAACACTTCTGATTTGTATTTAAGTGGATAAACCCATGTATAGCGGGTATAATCATCAACAAAAACTACATAGTATTTGTAATTTTGAACTGACAAAATCGGGGAGGGTCCCCATACATCTGTATGTATAATTTCTAAACACTTTGTAGTTCTAGGTACATTGGTAGAAAAGGAAATTCTATGAGCCTTTGCCCGAGCACAAGCATCACAGTGAGCTGAACTGGACGTGGAAGGAAAAGCAGCAGACAGGAGTGATTGCGTGGAAGGTGAGGGATGCCCGAGACGTTGGTGCCAGAACGAAGATTTATTTGTAAGTGAAGAGAAGCTTGCAGGAATGGAAAACTCTGTCCGATCTCGAGGAGTTGATATGGATTTAATTGGGTAGAGTCCTTGATGAGAGGATCCCTGAAGTAGCGTCCGATGACTCTTGGAATCCTTAATGAGAAAGCCATTAGAGTTAAAGAGAATGTAACAAGGATTGTCATGAGTTAAACGGTTTACCGAGAGGAGGTTGTGAGTAATTTGAGGAACATGGAGGATAAGAGGGAGGTTAAGCTTACTAGACGGTGTAGGTAGAATACCCTGGCCTGAATGCGTGATCGGTAAATGATATCCACTGCCAACTTGCACTTGAGAGAGTCCTGAGTAAGGTTGAGCTGACTATAGTTGTGTTATATTAGATGTTAGATGATTGGAGGCTCCCGTGTCCAAAAACCAGTCAGCATTGGACGGATCATCCTGCGCAATAAACGCTTGTTGCTGTTGTGGTTGATAAGCAAAATTCCCTCTATGCCAACAGGTGGATGCAGAATGTCCCGGTTTAAGGCAAATTTGGCATTCAATGTGTGGGGAGGAACGACGTCCACATCCACGGCCTGAAGAGTTGGTGCTGCGACCTCCACAAGCAGAGGATCTTCCTCGTCCGCGACCACGAAATCGTCCTCGAACTGCATTTAATGCAAATGACGAATCGGCAGTAGTATTTGAAGCTGTAAGCTCAGTTAACAGTTCTGAAAGAACATTAACTTCTTCGCTACACAGTAGAGAATAAAGTTCATCCAGATCAACTGGTTCAGCTCTGGTGCGGATGGCTGTTTTGAAGCCATTGTAAGTAGAAGGCAAGCCATTAAGCGTGTATAATATGATGTCCTCCGGATCCACAGTGCTTCCCGCTGCCTGAATGGCATCGACCTTTTGTTTTATCTCGGTCAAATAATAACCTATATATCTATAATATCACCTACATCTAAAGGTGGCATGCCCATATTATCACCTACATCAATGAAAGATGGTAAATTGAGTGATCTTGCAACATCCTCATTCACATAAAAAATTATATTTAATTTTTTTTAAGAGCAATAAACATATATAAGAACTGGTGTTGAATGGATAGGACTATCTCATTAAAAAAAAAACAACAACAACAAGACCAAAATATGTTAATAACTCTACTGGAGGAATTGAAATTGTCGACTATGCCCCACAAAAGTGATAATCACCTCTAATTTCAGACTAAATTAGTTATTATCAATCTCAGTAACTTTGTAAATAAGCCCATGAGATCTTTAATACTTCTTAGTATCATCAATTATTTGCACCTTTTTTCAATAAATGTCCAGTTGACTTGACAGTCTTTTCTCAATTCTACTCAATACAAATTAATAATATTGATGATTAATTTACCTTTAAAAAATAATTGATTAGCATAACAGTTCACCATCAAAAGCTCATATATTCAAGCCACATTTAAACCATGTTCAACCATTGGTTTGAATGAGATTTGAAACAATCTCTTCAATCTTTTTTGTCACCTTTGCATCTGAGGTACATTAAAATGATATAATTTGCTTGGAACATATGATACACGATGCGAACCAAGGATTTAAAATTTGGGTCTGACTGATCAATCTGATTGGTTCAACTATGAACTGCTCCAACAATAAGTCTTGTTTGCCTATTTAACCAGATTCGCCTCAAACCAATGAGAACTAACAGTTCAACATATAAACTAGCGAATCTGACACTGTTTTATAAAATTACTTGGTTTTCCATTTGATCCAATAATCAAAATTAATTTTAAATTTAAGTGCTAAGAATTAAATTTATAGAACTTCTATACTTAATTTAATACCCAATACGTAACCCTAGCCCTCAAACTCCTATATCATTCTCTTTCACCATTTACCATGCATCACAGTAGCTCCAATCTCCCGATCTTCTTTCCCTACCATTCTCCTTCGCTGGTTGTCACCCTCTCCCTTGATGGTAATTCCCCAATTGTTGCCCTCTCCCTCGATGGTAATTCCCCAATTGTTGCCCTCTCCCTCGACAGCTCTAGCTTCTTCATGAGCTCTTTGAGGAGCTAAGTTAACCTAATACCTTCACAAATAAGTAAAAGCTCAAAATAGTCATCGACTATCAATAAATGTCCAATTTAATCCCAGACTTTCAAATTGCCCCATCTTAGTCCCTCAACTAGTAGAAATTGAGTCAATTTGGTCCCTGGAAATGATTTGTCGTTTAAATTAAGCAGCAAAAAGCAGAAAACGGAATAAACACCAGAGGACACCACAACATTGTAAAAAAAAATCAATGGTTCAGTTGTTATTTATCAATTCTCTCTAAAGTTGAATGGACCCAGTAAAATAATAAAATGACGAGTATTAGTTGATTAGGTTTAGGCCAAATATAAATTTAAACCTATATTAAATAATAAAGAAAGAGAAATCCTTGTTATTACAACCACCAAGTTTCAAACCCAAGGAATATACAAACCTTGATCCGTCTCCTTGTGGATGTCGCACATTGCTCGTTGTCTCTGTCTCATGATGTCGAAGTGCACTGTCTCACTCGAAGGGTTTCTTGCTCAGTGGGGCATAGTTTGTCTCATAATCGCACGCGAACTACCCGGAATGCAAATCAAAGCACGAACGGCGCATCTCGCTCGCGTCGCCCTAGGTCGCTCACGTCTCCCTCTACACAGCTTCACCTCGCACAAATTGGTCTTCAAGGTGTATGGCGGGAAGGCGTTGAGCAGTTGTTCTACCTAAATGCCCACAAAGAAGCGAATCCCTGGAGCTTTTTCCATTAATTTAAACGACAAATTGTTCAGGGACCAAGTTAGCTCGATTTCTTCTAGTCGAGGGATTAAAATGGGGCAATTCGAAGCTCTGGGACTAAATTGGACATTTATTAATAGTCGGGAGAATTATTTTGAGCTTTTACTATTAATTAGTTGTAAAGGTTGATTCTTCCTCGGCTTGTTTTTTTATTTAATGAAACTTATTAATGCTAAATTGAGAGTTCAAACCCATGAAAAGGTTCGTCCTTAAATTTTGAATGCTATCCCTATGAAAAATTTGGAAATTGTATACAAATTATGAAGAATATTGTAATTGCATGAAAGTGTGTAAATTGAACCTATTAATTTCAAAGGACCCTCTGAGTAAATTGAAACTAAACCAATTAATTAAAGGTGTGTAGAATTTTCTCCCATATTCATTTAATTTTTAGAAAATCAAAATTTTGAAGGAAGAAAATACAAGATTTTAAAGGGCCTGGGGCCATCAAAATTTTGCTTATGGCTACCAAAAAAGAGGCCAGTAATTTAAATATTGTAGATGTTTAATTTGATAATTACAAAATATATTACTTGTGTATGAATTCTATTTATTTTTTGCCACATATTTATATTATTGCATCATTATTATACATTTAGATTATATTTAATTAATTTTAATATTTATTATATCATGTGTTTTAACCTTCGATTCAACTTTGGTCGAACAATTGAATATTGAACATCTCATTTTTTCAGTTCCATGTTCAATCTAATTTTTACAACTTCGCTACAGACATTAAAATAAACCTTACCCATATTAGTTAAAGTCATAATTAAACTGATTTTTTCAATTGAGCTGCATTGTTGTAATCGTCTTACATTTTCGAGTGAACAAATCTCAAACGAAAGGATGATAAAAGCAATGGAGAATGCCAAAGTGTGAAAGGGGAGAATATTGTTCTTCCTATATAGTGGAGAAATAAGCATAAGAAGGAAATTTTGATCTGAATGAAACTTTCGAGTATATTTCTCTAAATATGATTATTATGAGACAAACAAAGTCAAATTTCTCTAAAGAACTGGTTCTTTATCTCCATGAACACTCACAAAATTTCCGTCTAAAGTGTGGATTAAGGAAGGGTCTAGGGGGAGAAACTGCTTTCTTTTTTATCTTGAAACTTCTGCCAACACATACTGTCATTGGCTTCATCTACCAAGACAAGCACACTTACCAAATTTATGCTTTTACGTTTCCAATGAAAAAAATATATATTTATTAAAGATCCACAAATATATGTTGTATGATGAGAACTTAATGCAATTTCAAGTTTAGAATAAATTGCAGGGAAATACTTATTTTTCCTGAAAACTTTATGCAGTTGAAGAAATTAACACAGCTTCAAAGAACTCACAAAAAGAGAACATTAGCTTATCCTAAAAGCTGAATGATTTTAAAAGAAAAAAATTTACAAAATAAATAAAAACGATTACCTGCCACTCTTCATAACCTTGCATGCTTGTAGAGTTGAGCTTCTTCACAGCAACCACCATTCCAAGCCCACTTTTTACTGGACTCAAAGTTTTTTCATCAACCCATCCCTTGAACACCTTTCCAAATCCTCCTTCCCCAAGAACTGCCTCTGGTTTAAAATTCTTCGTTGCACTCCTCAGTTCTGCAAATGTAAAAATATGAAGATTTGGCGACTCCAAAATCTTTCCATGCGGAAATGACTCATCAATGCTCGCTCCACTGCTTGTAGACTGCCCAAATGTACTGTTGCTAAATGTGGAAAACTTCCCAGTAGTGGTGGTGGTGGTGGTGGTGGTGCTAATTTCTTTAGATGACAGCACTGAGATACAATACAAGAGTGGACACAAATCTAAGTGAGAAAAAACGTGAGAGTGCTTTTCCAGATTACAATTAGGTTTTGACTAAACAATGAAGCTTTACCACAATTTGAATCAAAGTTTTGATTTTGAAACAGAAATAAATTTGACCAAAGTTCAACTTTTAAAGGCCCTAAAGATTCCAAACACCGACTCAAGGCATAATAGCATTCCAAAGTTATTTTTTGAACTGATATGAAGAAACAAAAGGAAGTATTCTATATTCAAGGACATAAGAGGCATAAAAGATCACATCTTTCAAATATCACATCTGAAACAGTTAACGGATTATTACTCACAATCAGAAAACCTGAATAACAGAATTCGGGGAACAAACAGAACGTAAATAGCAAACCCAAGGAAATCGAAACTTGTACGAAGTTATGTACCTGAACCGGTGTTTGCTGGGCTCGAGCTTACATTCTTATCTGAAAAACTGCAGAAATTTCCCATGGACAAACAGCTTCTACCTCTCTCCGGTCCTTTGCTTTTGCCTTCTCTAAAAGATTTGCCCTTCTTCCTCTAACAAGACCTTGCAGAATCAATCATGGCTGTGAAGGAGGAGATAGAGAAGAAGACAGAAGAATTAGAAAGCGTATCGTCAGGCAGAAGCGGAAGCGTTCTTGCTTTATGCGACCGTTGGCTCAAAAAAACTTCACGGTCATCTCCTTCGCTGCAGTCAACGGTCAGAGCGCCCAGGAAGTCCACCCGGCACAGTTGAGCGTAAGGCGAGGCTTCCCATTCTTTGCTTAGAAATGGTGATCTGCTGTAGGACTTACAATATTTATGCGTGGTTCAAAAACCAATAAAAGTTGGCCGCGTTGATAATTTTGTATTGCCGCCGACAATTTAACTTGTTGAATTTATCAACTCAACATAATAATAATATACTATATAAGTAGAATAAACTTGTACTCCACAAATGAATTTAATAAGCTAAATATTTTAATTATCTTTTAGAAACATATTGGAAAGTTCCTTTTAATGAGAGTCCACTCCAAACAAAATTGACTCAATTATTACTCACATGAGGTTCAAGTAAGCATTTAGAAAATAATATTTTGAGTAAGATTATAAAATTATTCGAATAAGGTAAAAAAAAAATCAAATATTATTTGAATTTAGCTCGAAACAAATTTACTTAAGTATTGAATCTATTTGAGAAAGCTTCAAGCAAGATTCAAATATAGTTCGAGCAATATTCAAACAGTAACTAGCTATAGCATAGCAAGCTATAAATTTGATATAACCAAATATAATTATTATATTTATAACATAACAACATATAACTTTAATATGTCAAAGTACAATCGCAATAACTACAATAAAGTTGACTATAATTTTAATATTTCATAGTACAGTCACAACAATTATAACAAAGTGGACCATAAACTTTAATATATTCTAGCATAATCAAAATAGTTATAATAAACAAACTATAACTTTGGTATATTAGAATACAAGCACACCAATTATAACATAATTGACTATAAACTTTACTATATTATAGTGCAATCATAAGACTTATAACATAGTTGACTATAAACTTTGATACATCATGGTACAATCATAATAGCTATGACACCACAAATTATCAATTTGATACATCAACTGCAATCACAATCATTATAAAACAATAAGTTATACATTTGATGTGGTAAGCAATTGCTACAACAAAATAAAATTGAATGTTCATCATTTGCAAAACAAAATGAATAGATAAGATGAATTAAAATTACATTACTTGTTATGAACCTAACTACGGATTTATGATTTTATATTATTTTAAAATAAATTTGTGTATGATCAAATTTTATAGAATGGTATACTATTAAGTGAATATCTTTCTTTGAAATAAGGTAGACGATGTGTTGCATCTTGTATAGTCTGCGATCTCCACTATAGAAATGATACAGAGCACTCATAAAGCTATATGTGTAATTACTATAAATTATTCATTAAAATTTAAATGGCTTAACTTACAATGGGAATCTCATTTGTGTTGGCCCTTATCCACTTTCACGGAGACATAGATGAGAATAAATCTCACTTATGTCAAGCGGGTAAGATGAAAGTTCAATGGAGGTGTTAAGTCACGTTGAACTGTCCCCAAGCACACCAAGAGGAGGAGAGTGAATTGGTTATTTAAAAATTTATTTAACATTAAGAAAAAAATCATTTTAATATTTTCAAAAACTTAAATTAAACAATTTAATCATCTGCAATGGAAGCTAATAAAAATAATAATAATTACAATGATGATGACTTGATTAAATCAATCTAACACCAACCAAAATATTTTCAACATGCATTTTTCACAAAAATAAATTGCAGGAAATTAAAGGGTTGAAAATAAAATTCATAAGTAAAATAATAATAAGCGCACCAAAAATTTATAGTGGTTCGGTCAAATAATGACATACGTCAACTTCCTGGAGTCCTCCAATATGGGTATTGCACTAACTCTTAGTGTCTCTCATTTAGCCTCCACAGCAAGGCTGAGAAACCCTTATAAGAATTACTTCCACCAACCTGGTGCGGAGGAGACACTGAATTCTTTTCACCCTCTTGATGAAACAGAGAATCCTTGAAGCTCTTTTCACCCTCTCGGTGAAGGTAGAAACCTGGAAGCTTTTTCACCCTCCAAGTAAAGGCATAAAACCTTGCAATCCTTTTTCACATTTATAGTCAAGACATAGAACCTCAGACTTCGACCTTGAAGCCTTTCTTCCCAAAGAAACCTAGGCAGATCTATAAGCCCTATGGAGGAATCAAGGAACAAGTTTGATTATAGTAACCATGTGAACCCTCACGCTACGTTTTCTCACAAACCTCACCTTCTCCTTCTCCACTCTCAACGATCTCTCAAGACTCTCTTCAAGAATTCTCTTAACAGCCCAAAAGTCTCTTTCTTGAAAAAAAAAATTAGCTTTAAATATAAGGTCATAAAAAACCCTAAATTTTTAATTCAGTCAAAAATGATCTTACAGTACGATTAGCCATAAATCACATTTTTTCACTCCAAAATGCAGTGAAACTCAAAAATGTCGTGATTCATCTTCAACCGAACTCCATTTTGAGCGCTTCTGCAAAGGTAACCGTCTTTCTCCTCTTTCGTGCATTTCTTAGGTAAATCTTGTTCAGACAGAAAATTATGTGGGTGAACAGTACAACGCCAATATTGACGTCACACTATTCACACGCAAGCAAATAACTGAAGATTTGGCGTTCGACTGGAGCGACCGAACGATGCCATACGCATGTTTGGTGTTCAGTTGGAGATGACCTAAATATGCATGTTTTGTAATTGTCGAAAATGGAGATGTTGGGAAGAAGAAGGGATGTGGAGCTCTTAGATCAAAGGGTGTTACTATTCAACAATGATTCTAACTCCATTTTTTTTAAAAGCAGGGGTGCTTTTATCATAACAAAAATTTTAGGAATCTATAACCAAGAAAATTTACAATGATGCTTATAAAGTAAAATTTCTAATTAAAATTTAGAATTCACTGAGTTCCATCAAAATTGATAGTTAAAAAATAATGTCAATTTACAATATAATGTTAGGGCAACACATCAAAGAAAAAAATTTGCATAGAAATATCATAATGCAAGTTACATTAGTAATTTTATCAAGAGAATAATATTTAGAAAATAATCCCAAACTAGTCGATATACTATTCGTGTGTAGCTACTTTTATCGCAAAGTAATACATTTCTCCAAGTTTAATCTCTCGACTTCCAAAATGGTATGTTCTGCTATTATTGTAATATAAAATTGATCTCAATTCTATACTAAATAGATCTTTTTGCTTGCTCAATGGACAAAATTGGGGAAACATGATACTCTTTGACTAAATTAACCACGTATGAACAGTAAGTGAACTATTTTGAAGATATATAATAACATAAAATGCACTAATTATGTGTCCCCCAACCCCTCACTCTCACTCAATTTCTTGAAACCTTTAATGACAACTAAGATATAAGAAAGTCAAATGCGAGCTCATGAAGGGCTAGAGTTTCTACATGAAGTAGCAACAAAGAGACGCCAAATGGTGTGGAGTTGCTTAGTTAGCAAGCGAATTGAAATAGGGGCGAAAAGTGGAAGTCGCAATAATGATGTCATAAGTATGTCTTTCTGAGCTTTGAATCATTTAAATAAGTCAAACATAGAGATTTAATAAATAGTGGAACATAACGTGGGAGGTAAACATGATTTGAGTTTATGTGGGCTTATCAGTTGCTTAGCTTGAAGTAGGATTTATTAAATCATGTAAATTCGGATTTACTAAATTATTTGGCATAACAAAGATTAAATCCGATTAAATCTTGACGGACAATTTGACTGCTTTGAAATTTAAATTGTTAACTCAAATAAAATTTGATACAATCAAATTGCTCATTAATATTAATCATTATGATTAATTTATTTGTGTTTCATTTATATGATTGAAAATTATTAATTCAAATACACATTTTTTTTATAAATACTAATGTGATTAATATAATCAGATTTATTATAAATTAATTAATTATTAATTAATAAAATATAACAATTATATAACCTTTAAGATTTTAATAGAGATTTAAATCTCAATAATATAAATGGATTGGTTCAATTTTTCATATAATTATTTACTAAAGCTTAAAAAAGCAAAAATAAGAAAAGCTTGTAAGTACAAAAGTTGGGAGGAGCGAGGTCATTCTTCTCCGCCCTTCCTTGGATTGCCTTTCTATTTCTATAGTTTTCCTTCTCTTTGGTCTGTTTATGCTTTTCTAGGGCCTTAGGCTTGTCAGGGTTTGCTGATCCTCATCGCCATTTCTTCTTCCGCTTCGCCCGAGGTAGAATTTTGAAAGAGTCGCTAGAAGCTTCTTCGCCTCCTTCAACGATGACGTCTTTCCCGTTGGATCGGAAGTCACAATGGGAGCTCGCCGGGAAGGCAACATTCTTTCTCATCTTTCGCTAATTTCCGTAAATCAGCCGAACTACTGAATTTACTAAATTCGGGATTTAAGGAGAAACGGAGAAGGAGCGGGATTTAAGTTATGGCGTGCTGGAAAATTGTCGGGCAGTATTTACGGTAAATCCAAACTAAATTCTGCAACAAATCTGATAGCAAACTTCACCTTTAAGTTGCCATTTAGGAGTTGTTTGGATGCACCAAAGATTTAATTCAAGTAGGATTTGTTAAATGCTCTAAATCCGGATTTACTAAGGGGATGTTTGGTTGACTGCAAAGTAAATGCAGTGTAAAGTAAATGCAGTGTAAAGTAAATGCAGTGTAAAGTAAATGCAGTGTAAAGTAAATGCAGTGTAAAGTAAATGCAGTGTAAAGCAAATGCAGTGTAAAGTAAATGCAGTGTAAAGTAAATGCAGTGTAAAGTAAATACTTTGAGGTTGTTTGGTTGTCTGCAAAGTAAACGCAGGAGAAATGTTTCCCTTGTTTGGTTAGATATATCAAGAGTAAAGTAAAAACAGTGCATTTGTAATTATTATTTTTCATTATAACTTATGTATTTATAAAACTAATCACCGATTGTTTAAACTTCGTTTGAGATAGCTTCTTATTGCTTTCTAAAACAGCTTTTCAGTACAAAGAGAAATAATAAATTAAAATTTGTTAGGCAGGTCGAAACCGCCATGGGGCACTCACATGTACATCTAAACTTACTAGCTTGCCACAACACACACCACCAATCTAATAATATTTTGTTTCAATCCAACCTCCAACTCGAACACGCATCAA